CCTTCTGTGAAATGGCACCACTTCACTATATAATCTTAAACGTACTATTTAATCTCTTTGAGACTGCTTCTCATGTGTAAAATAACTTACATAGTTACTATGGTTCCTTTGGTTTTAGGATTCTCAGAATTCTAGTACAGGTCTAGTTATGAAACTTTTGTCTCAGGCTGATTCCTCTTCTGTCTTCTTAAATTCTGGTGTACCCCATGGTTGTCAGTGACCAGCTTTTTCACTCTCATTCTTTCTCTAGCATCTTATAAACTCTTATTATGACTCTCTCAAATTTATGATGTAGACCTAACTTCACTCTTAAAGCTCCAGATTTAAATTTTTATTTGTTGTACATGATTAACTAGATGTGCCACCAGCCCCTTTAAGGTATCAAGCGAACCAAAGAACTTATTTGTCAGTATGGCTTGTGATCAAAAACACAAGTTTTAGGGTCAGATGTACCTGAATTTTAATACCAGTTCTGTCATTTATTAGCTGAGAAACTCTGACCAGGTTAATCTTGTCTTCATTTTTTTCATATGTAAAATGGGGTTAAAATAATACTTATATTTCATATGGTTGTTGTATGGTTGGTGTATGTTTTATATACACAGCTTAGTATATCATCTTCCTAGTCTTCCAGATTCTAATAGTTCTAATAGCTCAGTATCTTTGATACACTGTCTTTTTAAAAATCAATTCAACCAGCATTTGCCTATTTTTATTTTCCAACATGATCTGTTTTTCATTCCCACATGGATTAGGGTTATTATCATAGCCACCTAACCAGATTACTAGATTTTATGCTTGCCGGCCTGGTGTGGCTTAGTGGATTGAGCATCAGTCCCATGGACTGAGAGGTCCTGGTTCAATTACCGGTTAGGGCACATGCCAGGATTGCAGACACAGTAGGGGGCGTGCAGGAGGCAATCGATCAATGTTTCTCTCTCTCTAAAAAAAATCAATAAAAACCTATTTTTAAAAAAATAGATTTTACATTTAAAGAGTACAGCCTCTTCTTATTTATTTATTTTTTTTACAGTACGTGCCCCTAGCGGAAACCAAACCCTGGACTCTCTGGTCCAAAGACCAATACTCCAACCGCTGAGCCAAACCGGCCAGGGCCAGCCTCTTCTTATTTTTGTTTCCCCTATATTACCTAGCATAATGCCTAACACAAAATTCTTGCTGTTATTAGACAACCTATGTAATCTTTACATCCATTTATTTATTCCTCCATTGATCCCTTAAGTTATTTGAGGACATAGAGTATTTTGGTCCTCTTTGTACATGCACAGCTGACAAAACCCCTTAGTCAATAAACGTTTATTGAATTAATGAATGTTGACTAGCCTCAGTGTCTCTAAACCTATCATCAAACTAGCTATCTCATATGCAAAAGGTAGGTCTTATATTCTCTAATCCAACAACTTATTCTGACCAAAGTGGCCTCAACACAACATTATCAAAAGCAGTCTCACTATACTAGTCAGGTCTCTTATTCTGTATTTAAAAGTTATAAACAAATTAAGCAGAAAAGGGACTTGATCAGCTTGCATAATTTGAAAAGCCAAGATAGCGCTAATTTAAGGCCTGGCTATTGATCTAAAGATTCATAAAGGCCCAAAGGTTCAAACTATCATCAGAACTTGGCTTCACTCTTTCCATCTGTTGGCTCTGCTTTCCATTCATGGACAAGCTCTAGGATCACATTCTATTCTCTCAGTAACCCTAAAGTTCAAAGCTTGCCTCTTTCTTGATAATTTGAATTAAACAATTCAGAATTAACACTCCTGTGCTGACTGGAAAATATGCCCTTCTCTGAACAATCACTGTGGCCAGAGTGATGGACGACAGATTGGCTAGGCCTGAGTTGTGTGCACACCCTTGTGTCAGGGTAGGGATCTATGTAACTGAGTGGTGGTTCCCTAGGAAAATTGGAGTACTGTATTGTTAGCAGAAGAAAGGGGAATGCACGACAGACTGGCAAAATTAACTGCTACTCTAAGACTTTTTGTATGTCCACCAGTGCCTGGAAAGGCTTTCCTTCTCATTTCTGCCTACCCAAGTCCAAGCTACATACATCCTTTCTGCCCCCACAAGTCTTCTGTGATTTCTTCTAAGATTTTCCTTGTCCACTAAATCAAGTTACTCATTCCCAAATAGAGTATCTCCCTTTTTCTTTTTTTTTAAATCTTCACCCGAGGACATTTTTGCATTTATCTTCAGTTAGAGTGGGAGGGAGAAAGGGAGGAAGAGAGAGAGAAACATCCATGTGAGAGAGACACATGGAGTGGTTGCCACCCACACAACCCCAACCGGGGCCAGGGACAAACTGCAAGAGGCAAGTGCCCTCAGCAGGAACCAAACCCGAACCAAACCCGGGACTCCCTAGTCTGTGGGCCGACGCTCTAACCTCTGAGCCAAACAGGCCCAGGCGTAGCTCCCTTTTTCTAAAGCTCTACCATTTTAAACAAACAGGAGGGAAAAATGTCCAGAAAATGTTCCATGACGAATTCTAATCATGTCAAATTATACATGGTATGGGTAATATGCACTGTTTCTTAGAATATAAACTTTTGAAGGGTAGCAGTTTTACCAGATACATTCTGAAAGAACAAACTGTTAAAGAACAAACTGTGTGGCAACTTTGATATATACAGTATTCAAATAATTTTCTTGGCTTTAAATTTTCTATAGGGTCTAAACAAAACATTTTAGCTAACATAGGTTGTGTCTGACTTTGTCAAAGTACCTGGTATAACAGGTAGACTATGGTTTTGGAGTTAACTCAAATTAGGCTCAAATCCTGGCTAAAACCACCTTCCCTGGCCTTTAGCTACAGATTTTTCAGCAAACTATCTTCTCTCTCCAAACCTTGGTTTCACTGTCTATAAAAACAGGAATGGTAATACCTGTCTGTACATAATGAGGATATGTGGTATAGCAGAGAGAAAATAATTAGATGGATCCAGGCTAAAATTCTACCACTAATACTAATTATATGACTTTCTCCGAATGATTCCTCATCTGTAAATTCTGAGTAATTCCTCATATGTAAAAGTAGGAATAATAATTTTAATCTGTTGGTTGTTAGGCATTTAACATGGCAATATATTTTAAAACACCCGACACACAATAGCAAACAGTGAAAACCCAATAAATGATGTTATCCACATTAAATTATTTGTTTAAAATCAATCAGAAAATAATTCAGTGTATTTGTACTTAACAAGGTCTGCCAAAGATTTCTTATACTTAATAAGTAATATTTCTAACATATTAAGATGAATGTAGTCTAATAGGTTAGAAAATACTTTGCAGTTTTTTTTCTTTTATACTTTTGACCAGATAAATGTCAGCCATCAAAAAAGTTAGTTTATATATAAACTATTAAAATAAAAAAATAAACATGGATAATAACAAAAATTCAGAACACAAGGAAAAATCCATTGGGATTACTTATTAGTCTTCATAAATACCCTTAGGTTTTTTTCTGTTAGTTAATAAAATATTTTCTAAAGGCAAAACACTTTGGTCTTACAACTATTTCAAAGCAGGTAAGATAATGAACTAGATAAACTCCTGTAATCAACTTGTTCTTTAGCTTCAGGCTTAATGTAATATGAAATGACTCACACCAATATGACATCACTATGCTATCCATGTTCTGAACATATTGCCATCTCTTGAACAGAATCAGAAAATATGGGGTATAAATGACAATTTTAGATGTTATCAATAAAAACACATACAAAAGGCAAGTGGCTGTTCATATTTACCTTATCAATAAAGTTTAATGTCATTCACTAAAAAACACAAACTACCTTGTACAACTGTTTCAAAAAGAAATTAAATAAGTAGGCATTTAATGACTTCCATTTTACACTACAACAAAAGTTTCTTTGGAAAAACGTTTCCTGAAGTAATTTAACATTCTGTTTATTTTTCTAACATGAGTGAATCAGGTGTAATACTTATTAATCTATATTGAGTGCACAAACACAGGAGGTGTTAAATTGGAAATTTTAAAATAAGATAAATAAAATGGAATAAGACAAAGCACTACACATTCTTTGGTTGCAAAAACACTATATGAAAATAAAACATTTAACTACATCATACTATACAAACTTGTGTAAGTGATTTTTTTCCCTCCTTTGTATTTGTAAAAAACATGAATAGGCTCAGTTTTTAATCTACTCCCTGAGGAAGCTGTATTTTAAACACAAGAGAAACATTATGGTGAATACCTCAGTCACTAGACATTGTTCTCTACAACTAAGAAAAACCAATTCCTTATTATCTTTGCTGTGTTCAAAAATATGTATAAAGCAAAATGTTTGTTTTATAAAAGCACTAAATACAGATATGTTAGGCAACCTATGTATCTTTTCGAAGTTTTCTTCCTTCAACGTTTGGGGGCGGGGGGCGTGAGGAGAGAAGGGGCATGAGTAATGGGGAGTCTGAAGGTGGGCTCTAGTTATTTTTACAAGTATATTTCGTAAGTCAGCTAGATGAAGGTGGTTAAAGTAAAGTTACTGCGTTCGGGTTCACATTAAAAACAACTGTCGAGAAAACGCCAGTGCTGAGATCGAAGCATTCCTGATAAGGCAGCCACCAACGCTACTCTGATCTAATTAAGAGCGCGCTACAACCCCAAATCTTAGCAAAGTCCATTTAGAATCCAAATCCCAAAGGGCCTGCAGAAACTGGGGCGGGGCAGCAACTGAGGTTAATTTTCTAGGGGATGAAAACACCACCCATCAATCCCCCACGGTCTTCCCCCGAGAGATGCTGCTGTCCGCCTCGCCCCAGGCTCTGGGTCTGGCCCGCAGGCCCGGGAGGCCGGGTAGGTTGGGACAGTTGCCTTCTCCCCGTTACCCGGGTCCCGACCAGGAGATATGGGACCAGTACTGTAACTACCCCTCGAGTCCCCCATCTGGTTGAGGCGGCCTCCTGCCGCGCCCAGGACCGCCGTCCGCAGGGATGCCCCCCGCCCCGCTCACCAGCCTGGGTGGTGTCCGTCAGGTCGTGGTTGGCCGCTCCCCGGGGAAACTCCCTCAGTTTCCGGCCGCTCAGGCTTAGCACCCCGGTTATCGCCGCCTCCTCCAGCGCTCGATCGAGGGAACGGCTCCACGAGCCCGGGCCAGGACCGGGACCTGTCCCAGAGCTTGGGCCGCAGTTAACACCGGAGAGGTTACCTCCCGACGCTACTGGGCCGGAATATTCTGCAGCTGTGGCTACAGCGACCAAGCCCGCGGCCGCCATTTCCCAGCCGACAACTACCCGACCCACAGGTTCGGCGCATGCGCGGCTAGAACTGTTGGGTGGGCGGAGAAAGGGACTTGCAGACCCCGGACCGTTCCCTTGATGGACAGCGTTGCGGTGCCCTCCGCGCATCCAGGCACTTGCTCCGCCCACAAGGTTTTGAAGGGAAAATAAAACAGATCCGGAGCAGCCGCCGGTAGCATTTTTAAAATACCTCTACAAAAATATATTGAAGACAACCTTTCTCACCAAAACTGCTCTGACTTCGTCTCTCATTAATGGAGGATTAAATTAAGCATTACGTTAAGGCTTCTTAACACTTGTTGTTGTTGCCAGAAAAGGGCCGTGAGAAACTTGGGCAGTGAGAGAAGGGGACTTGGGATGCGACCTAAAAATTGTCCCAACTTCTGTCATTCTGTAAACCAAATGATACAAATGGAAACTTGTGGATATCTTAACTATTATTGCCTGAGGGAAACATAAGGGCTAAACTGTCTCCCAAACTCCACAGATCTCATCGAAAGGGTTATATAAATATTTTAGGCCCTCCCTCGCTTTTATAAAATAGTTAAAAATAAAACAAACATCTCAACTAGTACTAGTCCTTTAAGCAGGATGAGCTGCATTAGGCAGGACGAATGGCATTAAAGTCTAAATTTTGGTCTGGAACCAAAAATGAAGAGAATTACAGGTAGAACTAAAGAAAATGGTTAAAAAAATATTTTTTAAATAAAAAGAAACCATTTAGTTTTGAAAAAGTGGAAAATGCCACATTTTAAACCAATTAGACTTCACTTATACTGCAGTCTTTAGCATATTTTGGGTTTTGTTTTGTTTTTTGCACATTTAAGCCATTCCTGCTACATGATGTAAATTTCCCCAACAATCACCAAGTATTTACTGTGGGAAACAGAAGCTGTCAGACAGTCCTTTTCCTGGTTTATATATAATCTAATTATATAATCCAGACAAATAGACCACTTAGAGAATAAGACAACAAAAAAGGCCCGAGTAGGGGTGGTATGAATTATCTATCAGAATTCAGAGAAAAGGAATCTATATCATGAATGAATGATGTTTTGAATCAAATCTGGATTATTGAGGTAGGTTGGAAGGTGACAGCAATATTCCAGACTGGGAGGAGGATCAGTACAAACAAACCCAGGTATGATTTATAATGGTACATGTGGTGAACACTAGGGCCACAGGCCCAAGTTCACATCAGAAAGCAAAAGAAAATTAGGTTAGAGAGATCCTACTCATCACTCAAGGTCCAACTCTTCAATGAAAACTTAATTAGCAACTCCTAATCAGAAGAACTTGCAAAAATGTGTAAACTCAGTGCCAAAGATGATTAGTAACGGCTACTCAGAGTTGTTCTATGAATTCAAAACTACATGTTAGGTTCTTCAGCAACAAGTTTCATGTTCAATGTCCTTTATGAGCATGGGTCACTGCAGTGGCAAGTGATGTATTTGTTACTCCTGGCAAATAACATTTATCTAAAGCATGAATTAGTTATTATTCCGGTATTCCTAGAATGTTGAAAGTCTTAGAAAATTTTTAAGCTATTTAAGAGCAGGACCTCATTTTATGTTTTTTAGAGATACAGTAATGCAAATACAATGACTAAAAGCATAATCATATATTCCATGCTAATGCTACCCTACAAAAATAATTGGCAGATCTTTCTAAAATACACCATTATGTCATCTATATTTGATTACCTATTACCTTCCACATTTACATTAAAGTCTTCTGACAAGTTCTCTGAAGTATGACCTTATTCCTTTCTGCCTGCACATTTCATTATAATTGCAACATTCCATAATTGTGGTCTCCGAATTTCTGGCCAAATTTGTAGATTGATGTTGCTTTGTCCATTCAATTAGATTTTAAGGTCCTTAATATGTTAAACTCTATCATTCCATAACCCAGGGCTGAGTATATTAATAGGAGTGAAAAAATTGAAAGAAGCAGACAGAAGATGTGTTATATACTAACAGAGTAGAGGTTATATACTAATACAGGAGAGCAGGTTGGGAAGAAATAAGAATTACAGTTTTTGAGAACAGGATATATAAGTATTTGAAGGCCAAAAGAAAGGCTTGTGGGTTAAGAGGAAAATGCCATATATACCACTATATGAGAATAAGTCCTAGGGAAAGAAAGCTGGAAGGCAGATCAAAGAGTTACTTTCGAGACTTCCAAGGATCTGAGGTTTCATTTACAAAGTAAAGGTAGAATATGAAAGAATTCTCATCCTACTTCAATCTTCTCCATAAAGCAAGAGACAAGATTATCTTTCAAGAATGAGTTATAGGAAATGAAATCATTGTAGGAAGTTCACCAGAATCTAATGATGAATTAAAGTGATGAGAAATGTTTGCAAAAAGGCTGTGAGCAAAAGAGCTACAGGGATCTGTAATTTATTCCACTTTTGCTCTGTGGTCTGGAAGCAGTTGGAAAAATAGGCAGTGAGAGATATTGAATATATAGAGAACTTCCCTGCTTCTCCCCGTTTTATGGGCTGAAAGTTAGGAGCAAAGTTTTCACTCAAATCTCAATAGTTCTCTCCAGCTCCAAATATGATAATACATATCTATTTTAACAAAAAATAACCATTGGGCAATGAAGCCTATTTTCTTCACACTCAGAAGAATTTTACGATAAGCATAACCAATGGACACAGACAACAATGCTGAGGGGGGCAAGGGTGGGAACGGGAGGAGGGTGTCAATGGGGGGAAAAGGAGAAACCTCAGTAACAAAAATTAAATTAAAAAAATATATTTTATGATTTGCTTTTAATTAAAATTGTGGTAAAATTTATGCCTACTAGAAAAAAATAGTCTGATTAGGAACACCAGTATTTTCTAATAGGTCTGTCTTCATAACCTGAATACCAAAGTAATGAAATCTTAAAATCATCACTGGTAGATTTACTTACCATGCTATAAATACTAAAGTATTACCACTTCTTAGGTATCTGACAAGCCTCACACCATTCCACTACTTTCTGTGGCTGTTCAATTCACAGGAGAATTTTATTATGAACTGAGAATTAAAAGATCTAAGCTGGGTCTCATTTAACTAAAATGTAAATAGAGGGGCTTAACCGGATGATCTCTCTAGGCTCATCTAGCCTAATACTCTGCATTCTAAATATGATTTTTCTATTTTAATTCCTACTCCTGGCTACTTCCTGTTGGAGCTATGAATGAAATGACTAAAAGGCAGTTACAGGGATTCAATAAGGTTGATTTACCAATTTCATTTTGTAGGTACCTTTTCAAACCCTAAAAATTATAAATATAATCACTACAAAGTTTTTTGTTATACAGAACAATCTAAAAACCACAACTCAATCTTCACAGCTAAGAATAAATCATGTGAGACCTGTAACATTTTATTTGTTAAAAATGAACAGCTTCAGAATAGATCTAAATGTAACTTTTCCAAAAAACACCAAAAAGTACAGTGTAAAGCATCTCCTCGTTAAATATAAACTTTCATTTTGTGATGCACTGCATCAATGTTTTGCATACACCTTGATGCAAAGGGAATTTTAAGTTGCATCTTATTTAAAAAAAACAACAACAAACTTTAAGAACTGAAAAAGGATAACTACGACCACATTCCAAGAAAGAAAATCTTCCTCCAACAAAGCATACTCTTTTGTTTATATATAATACATTAGCACTGAAGAATTTCAGTTTAGTTGTAACAAAAGCAAAATTGCATATTTAAAAAGAAAATGAAATTACAGATTCATGAAGAGCAAAAGTTTAAAATACCAAAGATACTGTGTTGTTGCTGGATGTACTTACTGTCAATACTTGGGACAATTTTTAAGGTTTTCCTCCCCAAAAATGTATTAATAGCTCTATACAATATTTAAAATGAAAACATCTTTATACCATATTTTCACAGACTGTTCTAAAGACAGCAAATCGTGCTCAGTTGTTTTTCCTTTGCAAAATAAACTACTAGTAATTCTAAACCAGTCTAACATGTATTGTCCATGGATCAAATCTAGGCATTTATACTTGCAAAAATGTTTTGCAATGAGTGAGGCCTTGGCCCAAGGAGAGACTAGAGTTTATTTTCGAATTGTGTGACTGGCTTCCATACCAGATATTAAGAATCAGATTTAATTCTTTGGTAGATACATGAAACTGTTTTTGATAATCTCCCGTGGCTAGCATAAATCAAGGAACCAAGTAGCATGGGAGACAATAATGAAGTCTAGTATACAATGCAAGGCAGGCAGGAGCCATAACTTAATGTTTTTTCTTAAACAGGGAAAATCAACACTAATAATACATTCTAGGGAAGCGAACACCTACTTAGAGGTTTTAACATTATAGCAAACCAAATTAAGCTTCAAAATGACCAAACTTGTAACTGTATATTTTGTTGCATTTTGGCATTATACCGTAACTTGTAGTATACAACCATCTGAGAACTCTTAGTACTAGCTTGGCACAACTGACTAACTCCTCCTACCCCTCCAGAGTATGGGGGGGAAATAACCTTTTTCTCACCAAAAATGACTCAATTTTATACAAGAAGTCAAAATCAAAAGTATAAAACAAGGTTACAACATAAGTCTATTATCAATTTGCACTTTTTTCCTTTGTGACATATACAAGTATATTTTTGTTTTTGGAGCTGTATACTGTTTAATTTAGCAAGATAAATGCTTATAAATTTTAACTTTTCCAATAAGAAGAGTATAGGACTTTACGGCTATTAATTTTACTATCAAAATATCTATGAGACTCAATCCACTTTAATGATTATAATTTTTCTAAATATCACTTGAAAAATTCTTAGTGAACACTAGGCTCGAGACTACACTAAATCCAAACAGTATACCTATGACCTGGGTTTTAAAGTTTTTCACCTCAGTAACCTGTCTTCAACCTGCTACTTCCTCTCATGCTTTCTTTATTTACTTACAAAAACTGTCAGATTTTTACATTGGACTTTTTCCTCCAAGGCTCTATTAGATAACTTTGTGAACATGCATTTATGGCCTTCTAGGAGTAACATTTTAAACTGAGACTTATGGCCTAGAGTCACATTTCTTGTTAAAATTTCAACTTCAAAGATTTATAACTCTGGGGCATTAACCTAACACTATCTGAAAAATGAGCCAAGTTCCAGATCTTCCCATAAATCTTAAAACCCAAAAGTGGAATTCTAATGTTTTAAATATCTCTAATGAAGAAAAGTCAACTGCATTTATTACATCAACACTGTTAAAGGATAAGGGACAGCAACAAAGGGACCTACTCATATTTCTGAAGACCAAGATTTACCATGGCAAAGTATAAAAAATGGGGAAAGGAAATGAGATGCTAAATACCAGTATCATAAAAATAATTTTTTTGTCTGTCTTCTTTCTGCTGTATGAGGAACCAAAGAAGTCAACTAGAGAATTGTTCTGTCTGGGCCAACCAAGAAATCTTTAGGAACAGATAGGCAAATTCCCTGTTGTTCTTTCAGGGCATTATTTATACATGTTTTTAAAAAAAAAAAAAAAAAAAAAAAAAACTTCAAAAATAAAAATAAGAGTATTTAGTCTTGTGAATATTTTGAAATAAAGTTTCTTGAATTTCTGTGATAAACTCTTCAAGCAATTCAACTTTTTTAAAAGAGTCATCACTCAAAAGTCCCTTTAATATGTGTTCTATCCCACGGTTACAAAGCGACTTCCTCCTTTGTTGAATGTTAGAGTGGCTCTTTGTTCCTTCAGGATCCCAAATCGCTCATTCAAAGTCATTCCTGTCTAGAGAAAACAAAACAAAAATTAACAACTTGACTGTAAGCCATATTTAGTTTGGAACAATATGATCATAATGGTAATTCATAGTAACAATAGCTAGCATTTCCTGACTCTTTATGTATATGAACTCTAAGTTTAACAAAAACTATTCAAAACAGGTAAATTTAGTGACATATAGAACAGTTAACTTGCCTACTTGCACAGCTCCAGAATTTAAACCAGGAAATTTGACTCAGAATTTCTCCTAACACTATAATGCCTATGTTATACACTACATAAAACACATATACTATAATGCCTACATGTCATATACCCAAATATTTCTTTATCTGAATTATTTTTAGGCTCTGTAATCACTGCCACCAACTCTAGTGATGTCTTTGATAAAAGTAGTTGTTTAGTTTTCTAAATATTTTCTTGAATTTCTGAGTTCCTGAATTTCTGTGATAAACTCAAAATCAAATTAAATCTGGTTTTTGATTAACAACAGAAAGCACACCCAAATTATATTCACCGTTTCTGAAAAGAAAGTAACAATGACAAAATAAAAATAAGCAAGACAAATTTGGTCAAATTCCTGTCTATACTCCATAACTTCAATTATACAGATTTTTTTTATGTCAATGAATACAAAAAAGCATTTCACAAAAATCTAACACCCATTCATAATAAAAATTCTCAGCAAATTACGAATAGAATTCTCTATAATTTGATAAAGAGAATCTACTAAAAACCTATTGCTAACATCATACTCAATGCTGAAACATTTAATGCTTTCTCCTCAAGCCTGAGGACAAGGCAGGCATACATGCTCTAACCACTTCTATTCAACATTGTACAGAAGGTCCTAGCCATTACAATAAACAAGAAAAAAAAAAAAGGTTTAAGGATTGAAAAGAAATTCGGAGAATGACATGATTGTTTACATATAAAACCCTAAGGAATCTACAAAATTACAAAAAGTAGTATGTGTATTTTTTTATCCTCACTCAAGGTTATTATTATTTTGCATTTATCTTCAGATAGAGTAGAGGGAGAAAGGGAGTGAGAGAGAGAGAGAAATATCAAAGTGAGAGAGATCGATTGGCTGCTACCCGCACAACCCCAACCAGGGCCAGGGATGAACTGCAACTGAGGTACGTGCCCTTAGCGGGAATTGAACCTGGGACTCCCTAGTCTGTGGGCCGACGCTCTAACTGCTGAGCCAAACTGGCCAAGGCAGTAAGTGAATTTTAAGCAAGATCACAAGATCCTAGGTTACTACAAAAATTATCAAAACCACAGTGAGATATACCACTTGGATGGTTATATGCAAATGACAGGTGACAAGTGTTGGTGAGATGTGGAGAAATTTAGAATCCTCATACACACTACTAGCAACATAAAATAGTGTAGCCACTTCTTCTGAAAACAGTCTGGCAGTTATTCAAAACGTTAAACATTGAGTTAATAAGGTAACCGAGCAATTCCATTCTTAGGTATTTACTAAGGAGAAATGAAAACATAAACCCATACAAAAACCTGTAAATGTTCAGAGGAGCATAATAGTGAAGGTATGGAAACAACACAAATATCCATCAATTAATAAATGAATAAATAAAATATGGCATATCCATATGATGGAACATTATTCAGCAATAAAAAGAAATAAAATATTGATACACTATGAGTGAACCTTGAAAATATTATGCTAGGTAAAAGCAGCCGGTCACAAAGGAACACATATTGTATGATCCCATTCATATAAAATTTCCAAAATAGGCAAATCTACAAAGACAAAAAGTAGATAAATTGGTGGATTCCTAGGGTTGATGAGACTTAGGACACCCTATTTAAATAATTATACATTTGTTTTGTTAACCTAAAATATTATCAGTGAATGGCCCAAAGAAATACAGGGGAAAAAATTTACCTGTTTTCCAACACTATTTATGTCAAATTGTAGGGGAACACCTTTAGGAACTTTCTTTACATCAGACTGCTCCCGTTTTGTCAAGAATGAGGGTACAGCAGTACGAGTTAATCGTGGTTTCTGAGTTCTATTAGGAAAAAAAAATTAAAATGAAATTAGGCCAGCTTAACAATCAAAAGAAAAATAAAATCATTTAGTACATAAAGACATCTTGACTTGTAAACATATTCAAATGTCTTAGGGCAACTATTTTATTTGTGTTTTCAAAAAAAAGTACATGGTTGTTTACTGACTAATCTAGAGACTAAAATATATAATCACTCACAGAATACCACTTTAAGTAGAACTATAAACTTTTCGACAATTTGGAATGGTTGGTGATTTCCAAGTCTTGATCTTCTACTAAAATAAAGCAACCTCTGAAGTCTTATTAAAGATCTTACATTCTTTCGATTTAAGTCATTAAAATGGCTAGATAGAGCAAAAACTCCATAAACAAAGAAGTTTATAATGCAATAAATATAATGGTTAACTAAATTAAGGTTATCTAGATAAAAGAATACACTATAACTTTAAAAAGAAGGTACTTTAAAAAAAAAGGTACTTTAGCCCTGGCCAGTTTGGCTCAGCGGTTAGAGCGTTGGCCTGCGGTCCGGAGAGACCCGGGTTCGGTTCCCGCTAAGGGCACATACTTCGGTTGCAGTTTGTCCCCGGCCCTGGTTGGTCGTGCGGGTGGCAGCCACTCGATGTGTCCCTTCACGTCGATGTTTCTCTCTCTCTCTCCCTTCCTCTCTCTCCCTCCCACTCTATCTGTACAAAAAATGGAAAAATATCCTCGGGTGAGGATAAAAAAAAAAAAAAGGTACTTTAAAATATACTGGGAGGAGAGAAGGGAGTAAGTAGGTATAGTATTATCTCTATTATTATACATTAAAATAGATGTATATATTATTGGCTATACATGTACCAAACTTTCAAAATAAAATATGAAATTGTTGCCCTGCCAGTGTGGCTCAGTTAGTTGAACGTTGTCCCATGCACCAGGAGGTCACCAGTTCAATTCTGGGTCAGGGCACATGCCTGGGTTGTAGGCTGGATCCCCAATAGGGGGTGTGCAGGAGGCAGGAGATCGATCTTTCTCATCAATATCCCCCCCCCTTCTTCTCTCTGAAATCAATATAAACATATTAAAAAATATATATATGAAATTGTTAAAAGTGGTTACCTTGAGACCATAGAATCAAGAATCAAGGGAGCTTTTACATTTAACTTTACACTATACTATTTCCATTTTGTACTTCAAGTATTACTTTTCTCCTTGCCTCATTTTATCCTAACTTAGACATCATTCTCTGAGCAGAAGTCTAATACTTTTCTACTATTTTATATACTGAGAGACTGTAATTCCTGCAAAATAAAAGACTTACACTGGGCACTGCACTGCTCCAGGGTTATCAATGGATACAGTCAAGATTCCTCCATTTGTGGTGGAAGTCCTCCATCTAGTTTCAAAAAATCAAAAACTTCATTAGAATGAAGTTTATAAATCTACAGTTTATTTTTTTAAAAAATACATTTTAAAGTAGCCATTACTTTTTCTTAGCTTTTCAGAAATATATCTTGGGTATAGGAACTAGATGCTTTAATTTATTAAATATTGCCCTGGCCAGTATGGCTCAGCAGTTAGAGTGTCAGCCTGAGGACCAATGAGTCGCGGGTTCAATTCCAGTCAAGGGCATACATACCTCAGTTGCAGTTCGTCCCCAGCCCTGATTGGGGTCATGCGGGAGGCAACCAGTCGAGTGTCCCTCTCATGTCGATGTTTCTCTCTCTCTCTCTCCCTCTCTTCCTCCCACTATATCTGAACAAAAATGAAAAAATATCCTCAGGTGAGAATTAAAAAAAAGAGAGTTTATTAAATATTTTTCAGTATAACAAATACATGCACATTTATTTTATTTAAAAATTTTTTTTCTTTATTGATTTTTAGAGAGAGGGAAAGGGAGAAAGAGAAATAGAAACATCAATGAGAGAGAATATCGACTGACCCCCTACTGCATGCCCCTCACAAGGGATTTGGCCCACAACCTGAGCATGTACCCTGACCAGGAATGGAACTGGCGACCTCTTGGTGCATGAGTCAACACTCAACCACTGAACCACATCGGCTGGGCACAAATATATGCACATTTTAAAAAATTAAATATAAAAAGGCTTTTAATGAAAAGCAACTGTCCTTCCCCCCACTATTCTCCTCCTTCTTGTTCCCTAGAGGTAGTATTTTTAACCTTTCCTATTTTTACTGCTTGCTGGTTACCTCTAGTTCACTAAATAAGATGCTTGTGTAATATCCAGCTATAAGCCCTGGCTGGTTTGGCTCAGCAGTTAAATCATCGGCCCACAGACCAAAGAGTCTCAGGTTCGATTCTGGTCAAGGGCACATACCTTGGTTACAGTTTGGGGTTGTGCGGGAGGCAACCAGTCAATGTGTCTCTCTCACATTGATGTCTCTCTGTCTCTCTCCCCCTCCCATTCTATCTGAAGATAAAAGGAAAAATATTCTCGGGTGAGGATTAAAAACAAAATATCCAGTTATGATCAGGATTTAGCTCATCACACTATTCTTTAGTTTCCTTACCTAACTCTAAATATTTTGATAGCGATATCACTATTTTATTTCCATTATAATTTTAAATATAAACATCTTTTAGTAGTATCTCTTCACACCATCCCCTCCCCACTTAGTATAAAAGAATAGTATCTCTATTCCTTCCTTCCACCTTTTCTCCCACCTTTTATCAATTCTTTTATATTTACGTTAGTCAGAATCTGACATTTACATTATATTCTGTCACCAAATTAAGAATTTTGTGCTTTGTTCCACAGGTTGATTCTCAAAATTCATAACAAATAAACATTTATATTACAATTATGTAAACAGTTTTCATATAGAAGCAAATAGGCTATGATTATCATTTTCTTTCTTATGGTTTCCAATGTCATGACTCCTATGCAAAAGAATATTGCCAGCAAGCATCAAGTTCCAATAGTTTCCTTTGTTATACTATGATTGTTCAAAATCATGGCCCATTTTGGTTGGCATAATATCTGGACCATGACCATGTTTTGTTTTCCAAAAAGAAGTGTAATTTTAAATAATTTAATCTAAAAACCTGATCATATTGATAGAATTAGAATGTTATAACTCATACTTGGGAAGTGCAGTTCTGACAAAAAAGATTTTTTAAAAAACCTTAATGAGGCCCTGGCCAGTTTGGCTCAGCAGTTAGAGCGTCGGCCTGTGGTTCAGAGAGACCCGGGTTCAATTCTCGCTAAGGGAATGTACCTCGGTTGCAGTTTGTCCCTGGCCCTGGTTGGGTTGTGTGGGTGGCAGCCACTCGATGTGTCCATTTCACGTCGATGTTTCTCTCTCTCTCTCCCTCCCACTCTATCTGAACAAAAAATGGAAAAATGTCCTCAGGTGAGGATAAAAAAATATAAAAAAAAAACCTTAATAGGGGTAATGGGGGAAAAAGAATATGTGGAAAGGTAAAATATTCTATTGTTCTTAAGGGTTTACAAATTATCTGAAAGCTCTACTGGATTTTCTTTTATTTATTCCCTGAATAGGTTCATTTGTATAAAAGTAGTTATACAAAATAAAGGGCTGTTTCATTAAAATGGAATAAAAAATTAAAAATAGAGGAATGTATTTAGTACTAAAACTTTTATACAGTGACGTGAAAATATAAAAGATTTCAGGGGGAAAAACAGAAAAAAATTATCTATTTCAGGCTCAGTGGTTAATCTGCTTTGGGTCTCATTTCATTTCTTTTGGACTAAAGCACAAAGTAATTTGGGTCACTAGTATTCTGGGAGTTCTAAAATGATATCTAGAAAAACAAATTGAAACTTACTGACGAGTTCTCTTTGCTACTACATCGTCTAGCAGTTGTTCTGTGTTCAACTGGGCCTGAACCTGAAGGGAAAAAAAAAAGTAGTAGATCCCACAGAAAGCAGAGGACTTGAATCCAAACATAGGTTATCCTCCAAATTTTATAACCCATATGATATGTGCATGAATGTAGAAGAAGAGCATTTGCCTATTCTGGCAACACCTCTCTGTTGGGGTTCTGCAGCAGAACTAGTAATAAAAACAAGTTTATTTCTAAATAATGTGTTAAATTCTTATACGATACTGCTATTGAGGATAAGAGAGAATCGGGGAGGAGCAGGGGAAAAACTAATCTAAAGTTATGTTCTCCATATACAAACCCAATGCCTTCTTCAACAATGGGACATTCCTATAATTGAGGATTACTAAAGACAGATGTTCAGGACCTTTTATTTGGGTAAAAAGAAACCACCACCAAGGGTTTTTATACCTTCAGACCTCTTCTGAAAAGAAAAGTTGCCTGACGAGTGTCTTTCTGATGACTTAATTTATTTCCACTCCTGGTATAATTGGTTGGGATGTTATTTCTGCAACAAAAACATATATGCACGAATGGTGTGAGCTATTTAACAACTTTCAAACATCCTGAGAAAACAATAGTTAAATAGTTAAATTCACAGGCTGAAAATGTGAGGTACACTAAGTATAAAGACTGAATTTCCTTATTTACATGAAGCTATTGAGATCTTATTTACAAATATCTCCCTCTATAGCATATTACCTACCAACTGGTTAATTTCACACTAATTCATCTTGCAAATATTCAACTCTCCAAACATAACTCTTGCAAATATTCAATGTTCCAAACATAAAATATTTCTTCTGAAGACATTAAAAACCAACATTTTTAATGCTATTTCTTAAATAATGCTATTTCTAAAAAAAACATATAAGTACAGACTTATTTACAGAATTAATACAAAGAAAACCACACCTAGGCACATCATAGTCAAACTGGTTGAAAATAAAAAGAAAATCCTGAAAAACATCTTTTCCAGTTTTCCTTTCTCACTTGGAAACCTTTATGTATTAACATAAATCACAGAGAAACTTGTATCTTCCACTGCTTGCTCTTTCACACACAGAACAATGTAATCTTAACTATGTTTGACTTTACTTTCACCAATTCCTTTCTAGTTTCTATAGAAAGTTGGTAAAATATGAAAATAAATTTTCATAATTTATCTACTTATTTCATAATTTATCTACATATTTATTTTTACAAATAAAAGCTTAGAAGTTGCCGAATCTTACCTTCAGTCTTATAGAGGCTCAATTTCTCTAGCCAGCCCAATTAACGTGGGCTCATTAATGGCCCATATAATTAATAAGTTATTATTTGAGAAGTTCTCCTTTTCCAATAGATACTACCAAATGAAAACGAGATTTCAAAAGAAACTGAGATAATATTTAAGTAAAACTGCAACTCCAGCCATTTCATTTATACAAAGACTTCATTTCAGGGTTCTGTTTTGAATTTTCTTCTATAAAAGATGAATAAATGTATTTGAAACTGAAATAAAGAAATGTCACAGCTTGTCAATTTCCTTTGTGCCCACTTCATCCTTATAGAGACCAGAATGCCATTAACAATAGATCATAATTTTTAAGTTTTTGTTACGGCTTTCAATTTAATATTAAAATAATCTCAGCTTATGCCCTGGCTTGTTTGTTCAGTGGTTAGAGCGTTGGCCTGGGGACCAGAGAGTCCCAGGTTTGGTTCCTGCTAAGGGCACGAACCCTGGTTGCAGTTTGTCCCTGCCCTGGTTGGAGTCCTGTGGGTGGCAACCAGTCAATGTATCCCTCTCACATCGATGTTTCTCTCGCTCTCTTTCCTCCCTCCCCGTCCCGCTCTATCTGAAGATAAATGCAAAAATGTCCTTGGGTGAGGATAAAAATAAATAAATAAATAAATAAATAAAAAATCTCAGCTTATAAAGCATTCATACAGAATTATTTCTAGTTTGGTTTTTCCACAAATAACATACACTAAATAACAAATTCAGCTTTCAGGATTCCCAATTTTGAATAATTCTGGCTGAGGTGTTTTTACCAAACCAATCACCTTTTGCAATCTTATCCTATATGTCATTAGAAGAAGCAGAGTGCTGTTTTGTTTTGTTTTATTAAATTCATCAATTAACACTGGGTCTAAGAAATAAGAAAAGTTATCTGTAAATGCTTCTATGTTGGATAATTAGATAAACATCCAAAATATCTGTCTTGAAAGTGACCAGATAACTGTAAAAATCACTGAAAATTCATTCCTTTGAACACTTAGGCAAGAAGTATATCTTTATTTATGCAGGATAACATATTATTGTCTTATATTTGAGTACTTACTTTCTATTTAGCTGATTAGGTCTCTTGAGAACTGCAACTGGTTTTCTCTGCACTTCATTTTGCCTCAGAAGGTTTGCCTTCCTTTTTAACGCTGGAAAATATCGTTCTATATTCTTTCAGAAGGCAAGAAACTATGTTAATCAGATTGCCTTTTGCTATATACCCTATTACAATAAACATTTGAAGCAAATGGACAAGGACTGACCACTGCTTAGATGTGCAGGTTACAGAAACAGAGAAGCTAAAACAACTTGAATATTTCCAGGCTAAGTGACAGAAAGGACAACCATATTACACTCAAAATACTTGCAACAAAAGGAAAATAATTTTTTTCTATTTTGGATGTGTTCCGTTTGAAGTGCTCTGGGGGATGCACAGGTGATGGGGAAACATGGGTCTGAAGCTCAAGAGAATGAGAATCAGAGCTGTAAATTAGGTAATCATTTATATAAACATGGTTTCTGATATCACGTAAAGGGATAAGAGGGGCAAGTTCCAAAACAAATGTGTGAGAAAGAAAAAACAGAGGAGGTTGTAATAGCAAAGAAGCCTGAGTAGAAATGGTTACAGAGGGAAAAAAAAAATCAAGAATATTCAATGCCACAGAAAAACAAGTACATGAAATGTCCACTTCTTGCTCTGTTCATATAATTTCAATCCATCATTAAAGCCTAATTCAGGTGTTTATATATATATGTATCTCCCATGAAGTCTTTTCAAAAGTCCTTGACAATGTGGGCCATATCTTAATCTGGATTTCCTTATATTTTAAGCATATGTAAAGTACTTAAAAAATATCAGATGGGCCCTGGCCGGTTTGGCTCAGCAGTTAGAGAGAGACCTGGGTTCGGTTCCCGCTAAGGGCACATATCTCAGTTGCAGTTTGTCCTGGCCCTGGTTGGGCCATGCAGGTGGCAGGCACTTGATGTGTCCCTTTCACATCGATGTTTCTCTCTCTCTCTCTCTCTTCCTCTCTCTCCCTCCTGCTCTATCTGAACAAAAAAATGGGAAAATGTCCTCAGGTGAGGATTAAAGAAAAAAATATCAGATGGACTAAAAACTGCAAAAATATAAAAGTTTTCATTTTCACAAACATTTGGCAAAGAAAAAAATGTAAAAGCAGGGATAAAGAATTACTAAGAGTATAAGAGAAATGCTATAAAATCAGACTAATGACCCATTACAAGCTTTGTATTTTGTCTTTAATAACATCAAGGAACCTTTTATAGGTAAGTGTGAAAGCTCCTTCTATGATGCTGTTGTCAAATGTTATTTTCCTTCCAAGTACCTGCTATATTATAATCATATAGCTATTTGTGTGATAATTTATTTAATCTTTATATGTGTTCTCCATAAGGACAGGGATTTTTCTATTGAATTACTGCAGAATCCCTTATATCTAGCACATAGTGGGTACTCACTCAACATTAGTTAAATAATAAATACATCGAATAGAACTATAACAAATCATTAAATATAAGATGAATTTATGTTCCATGGATTCAAGGTTTGTGTATGTGTATAAATGTGTTTTTAAAAGTAAACCTAAAGATACATTTTTCCTTCATAATAACATCTTTTTGAAAGGCAAAAAGCATTTATTTGTGATAAAAAAAACCACAGCTATTTGGGAAACACTGATTCAGGCCAAACCCAGTGTTCTCTCTTTCACAATAATTTTTATATAAAAAATTTTTTCCTTGAGAGAAAGAAATTAAAGTATTTGGTTTATTTTTAACGTTAATTTTATTAAGGTATTATTTACATACAATAAAACTTTAAGTGTACAGTTTGATGAATTTGGGTAATTACATATTATCATGTAACCACATCACAACCAAGATACAGGGCAGAGCATGCACCCTAAAATGTTTCCTTGTGTCCCTCTAAAGTCAATTCCCTTCACTTATCTGACTCCCACTCCAGGCAATGAATGATCTACAACTACAGTTTCTCTTTCTACAATTTCAAATAGAGTAGGTCCTCAAATAAAGTCATTTTGTTCAATGTCATTTCATTATAATGTTGATGAGATGCCCTCAGAACCTAACTCTTGTTTATATTGAATAGTCTATGGTAAAACTGGTTTTATTACACACCCTGTTGCTTAAAGTCGTAGAATCTATCCATGATTAAGTGAGGACTTACTATAAATGGAATCACATAGTACATTGACTTTTGTGTTTGACTTCTTTTGCTTAACATGATGTTCTGAAATAATATATCCTTGCTATCTTGTGTATTAACATTTATTCCTTTTTCATTGCAGAATAGAATTGCATAGTACAGAGATAAGGTGCTTATTTTTAACTGTCAAAATCAGACAAATGATTAAAACTATCCATTAGCCCTGGCCAGTTTGGCTCAGTGTTTAGAGCATTGACCTGCAGACCAAATAGTCTCAGGTTCGATTCCTGGTCAATGGCACACACCTGGGTTACAGGTTCAATCCCTGGCCCTGGTCGAGGTCATGTGGGAGGCAACCAATCAATGTGTATCTCTCACATCAATGTTTCTCTCTCTCTCTCTCTTCCCCCCCTCCCTTCCACTCTCTCTAAATAAAATGGAAAAACATCCTCTGGTGAGGAATAACAATAGAACCCCAAAATATCCATTAGTAGAAAGTAACTTACACACACACACACACACACACAGCAAAACAATTTTTGTTTAACTTCACAGAATTACTAAATGGTTTTAGTATTATCAGAGTCAAGTTAAAAGTTCTACAAAACATAACATATTCCGTTTGGGGAAATTATGAAACTAAAAGAAAAAGTTATAGAATTAACACTAACAAAGTTCTATATTCCAAGAGAAGAATCCCTGAATAATTTAAGCACAACTTTACTTCTTATAGGTATTTTAAATTCTCTCTCTCAAACAAAAAAGAAAATTCATTCTTAGAGACAACCATTCCCCTCTTAGCACTGCCTTTTGCTCTATTTACATTACTAGTATTTAGTAATAATGTAAATTAGTGTATTTCCCACTTAGTCATTCAGTTCATAGGTAAGAAAAATGTACATTTTTATTGAAATAAAATTTCACTAATTTATATAACCTATAATAAGGAAAAGATAAAATAACAAAGCCTAATTATAATCAGAACCTTTTTTTAAGTGTAAAAATTTGAAGTATATTTAGCAATTCAAGTTAAGTTACTTAGGTAACTTATTAATGAATAGAAAAAAGTATGAGTTATTTATATGTAAATAGACATTTTCTAAATTGCTGAAAAATAATCTGCTTCACAATTACTATACTGTACCCTAATCAGACTATTAATCTGTATTCAGGTTGAGAACAGGGTTTTAAAAAGAAAGGGCAAATTTCCAACCATATCTTTGCCAAAATCATTCAAACTTTGAATAAATGGATCTTATTATTCAGTACATTGTTAGCATTCTGTAATTTACCATTTAACACTTTTCACTATTTTCAAACAATTCAAAAGATTAATTACTATATGCCATAACTTAAAAATTTTACTGATGCAAGTAATTAATTAGCAGTTAACCCAAACTCCTTTCCAGTATCCATATCTCATTAATGTTTTCTAATTTCTAAGAAACAGTAAGATCTGTGATAAAGATTTAGAGAAGAGAACATCTGCTGGGGGCAGCATAATTGAAAAGCAAGAAATCTAAGACAGTTGTGGTTAACCAGAACACGCACACTTAAGATAATTTAAGGAATAAATGTTCTGAATTTTTTTAAAGTATGTATTACTTTCATAATCAGAGAAACCAAAAAGAATAAACATAGAAGGGTAGAACATTAAATTCCTTGGTGGCTCAGATCTACAAAACATAAGAAGTAGAAGAAAAACCATCCTGAAACTATTTTAAGAAATGCTTTAGCCCTGGCCAGTTTGGCTCAGTGGTAGAGCTTCAGCCTGCGGTCCAGAGAGACCAGGGTTCGGTTCCCGCTAAGGGCATGTACCTTGGTTGCAGTTTGTCCCCAGCCCTGGTTGGGTCGTGAGGGTGGCAACCACTCAATGTGTCCCTTTCACGTCGATGTTTCTCTCTCTCTCTCTCTCCCCTTCCCCATTCTATCTGAACAAAAAATGGAAAAATGTCCTCGGGTGAGGATAAAAATAAATAAATAAATAAAAAGAAATGCTTTAGCCAACTCAAAATAAATTACTCATTGAGATGTATATAAAAACAGTTAAAATCTTAGATAGTAATTAACTCATGGTAGGTAAATAATTTTAACTCTTATTAAAACTATCAACGAGGGGACAGTTATCTACTGAACAGAAACGAAAACCTATATCCACACAGACAAACAGGTGAATGTTCACAGCAACATTATTTATAATACCTAAAACGTGAAAACAACCAAAATGTCCATCAACTGGTAAATGGATAAACAAAATATGGTATATCCTTATAATGGAATATTATTCAATAAAAAGGAATGAACTATTGATACATGTTACAACATTATGAACCTCAAATAAAATATGGCTAAATGCCAGACCATATATTATTGTATGACTCCAATTATATGAAATGTGCAGAAAAGACAGATTTATAGAAAATTACACAGAAAGTAGATTAGAGGTTGCCTGGGGCAGATAATGAGATATGGCTGCAAAAAACATGAGATTTCTTTTTAGAGTGATAAAAATGTTCTAAAATTAATTTTTATGATGACTGTATAACTGTAAATTATCTAAAATTCACAGAATTATATGCTTAAAACAAATAAATTTTATTTTTTTAATCTTTATTGTTGAAAGTATTACAGATGTTCCCCCATTGACACCCCTCCCCGCTCCCACACCACTCCTGCCTTCATCCCACTATTGCCTGGGTGCATTGGTTATACATATATGCATATAAGTTCTTTTGTTTATCTCTTCTCGTCCCTCACCCTCATCTCCTTTCCCTCTGAGGTTTGTCAGTCTGTTCCTTACTTTCATGTCTCTGGATCTATTCTGATAGCTTATTTAAAACAAATGGATTTTATAATATAAAATTATACCTCAATAACCTGTTAAAAATTTCTCTCTCTCTCTCACACACACACACACACAAACACACAGAGTCAGAAACCTGTAAAAAAATTATTATATTATTTGAGAATGTGGAAGTTTAGGTATTATTCATGAATAACAACAGTTTTTATCTCATTATATAATTATTTATATAAGCCCCAAAGTACTATATAAAAAAATCAAAATATGCAAATAATATGTTCTCTCAAGATCATTCACAAAATATTAGTGCAAATAAAGAAAAAGGGTATCTGACCCAGCATTAAGCCATCATCATCGTACCTTGTCACTTAGAGGTGGTCGATTCATAGGACTAATTCCTTTCCGAATTCCAGTTGTTTTCCTAGCTGCAAGGCCAGTGATAACTCCATAAGGGCGTCTCTTTCCAGGTATCATTCTTCCTCTACGGCTCAGACTATTCTTACCAAAACCTGTAGGAAGAAAAAATATCAATCAAAGAATGCAACTGAGGGGCACATGATCACAAGATATTCTACAGTATTATAATTTATATATATTTCTTTTGAATTATATAAAATATCTCATTTTTAAAGAGGCAATAAGTTGCACTGGAAAGGGTTCCGTTGCAATAATGACCTGCAAAGAACTAGCAGGGATAGGGAACCTTTTTTCTGCCAAGGGCCATAACATCATTTGAGGGCCATGCAAATTATCAATTTAAAAATTAGCCGGCTGCCCTGGCCGGTTTGGCTCAGCAGTGGAGCATCAGCCCTGAGAACCAATGAGGTGCAGGTTCGATTCTAACCAAGGGCACGTACCCCAATGTAGTTCGTCCCCAGCCCTGGTCGGGGTCATGCAAGAGGCAACCAGGTGATGTGTCCCTCTCATGTTGATGTTTCTCTCTCTCTCCCTCCCACTCTGTCTGAAGATAAATAAAAAAATATCCTCAGGTGAGAATTAAAAAAAAAAAATAGCCTGCTATATTTGGTGAGGCATAGGATGTTAGCTGGTGTTAATTTCAAAGGCCTTATACTGCTTGCGAGCCAGATATCCCCCACCCTGGACTAAAGGATTCTCATGGTTCCCTTCTAGCTATCCTTCTCTCTTTGACATTACTTGCTTTCTTTTTTTTTTTTTGGTTAATCCTCATCTATGGATATTTTCCCATTGATTTTTAGATAGAGTGGAAATGGAGGAGAGAGAAACATAGAAACATCGACGTGAGAGAGATACGTCGATTGGTTGCCTCACATACCACCCCGGCCTGGGCCGGGGATCGAACCTGCGACATTCAGTCCATGGGCCAACGTTCTAACCGCTGAGGCAAACCAGCCAGGGCAGCGTTACTTTCTAAACAGGACAGCCCCAACTTTCCCTGCACAATGTTTTAGCCACTAACCACATGTGGTTATTGAATACTTGAAAAATGGCTAGTCTAAAATGGGAACAAAAGAATGTACAATATTCCATTAATAATTTTTATGTGGCTCACATTTTACTTCTGTTGATGGCACTGATCTACAGTGGAATCACTATCTTTACCTCCCAATTCCTTTCTATGTTGTAATCTGGCTTCTTTATTTTCAGTCCTACTGTATTCAAACTGCTTTTGCTGAAGCTTACAGTGAGTTCCAATGGACATATTTTAAATCTCTGTGGTGTGTGACAGTAAAGACTTTGCTTTTCCATTATGTTATTTAAATACTTTTTTTCTAATTATGAAAAAATAAACATGCTCATTGCAGAATTTAGAAATATATTAAGTACAAATAAGAAAGTAAGTTATCCATTATTCCACCACCCAGAGATAACCACTACTAAACATTCTATGCCTTCCTAGTCTTTTCTTTACTTGTAGATGTACATTTAAAAAGTTAAGATTTTAGCCCTGGCCAGTTTGGCTCAGCGGTTAGAGCATCAGCCTGCGGTCCGGAGAGACCCGGGTTCGGTTCCCGCTAAGGGCACGTACCTCGGTTGCAGTTTGTCCCCGGCCCTGGTTGGTCGTGCGGGTGGCAGCCACTCGATGTGTCCCTTCACATCGATGTTTCTCTCTCTCTCCCTTCCTCTCTCTCCCTCCCACTCTATCTATACAAAAAATGGAAAAATATCCTCGGGTGAGGATAAAAAAAAAAAAAAAAGTTAAGATTTTAGCCCTGGCCAGATTGGCTAAGTGGTCTCTCCCACATCAATGTCTCTCTCTGTCCCCCGCCCCTTCCTCCCTCCCTCCCACTCTATCTGAAGATAAACAGAAAAATATCCTCGGGTGAGGATTTAAAACAAACAAAAAAAGTTAACATTTTTAGTTTCAACTATTTTTTTTTTTTAATCCTCACCCGAGGACATTTTTCCATTTTTTTGTTCAGATAAAGTGGGAAGGAGGAAGAGAGAGAGAGAGAGAGAGAGAGAGAGAGAGAGAGAGAGAGAGAGAGAGAGAAACATCGAAGTGAAAGGGACACATCGAGTGGCTGCTACCCACACAACCCAACCAGAGCCGGGGACAAACTGCAACTGAGGTACATGCCCTTAGCGGGAACCGAACCCGGGTCTCTCTGGACCGCAGGCCAACGCTCTAACCGCTGAGCCAAACCGGCCAGGGAAGTTTCAACTATTTTTAAACAACTCCAAAGACTCACATGAGGTAAATCACAATTTGTAGTACTAAGTACCTAGAAGATGGACTGAATCAATCTTCCAGCAAACCATATTTCATATTCTATGTACTATTTTGTAGTCTATGTTAACACTATACTGCAACTATTATCCCAGATATTTAACACTTTTATTACATTATTTTTTAATGTGCCATATACTTAATCTAATCAATTTCATACTAATCATTTCAGTTACTTCTAATGTTACACTATTATAAACAACACTGCAATAACACTATAGGTAATACAAACATTTTTTTAATATGTTTGGCCCTGGTCAGTCTGGCTCAGCGGTTAGTGTCGGCCCATGGACCAATGAGTCACGGGCTTGATTCCAATCAAGGGCATGTACCTCGGTTGCAATTCATCCCTGGCTCTGGTTGGGGTCGTGCAGGAGGCAGCCACTCAATGTGTCCCTTTCACATCGATTTCTCTCTCTACCTACCACTCTATCTGAACAAAAATGGAAAAATGTCCTCAGGTGAGGATAAAAAGTATATATATGTTTGTATTGATTTTGGAGAGAGAGAAACATGTGTCGGCTGCCTCCTGCATGCCTCCTACTTGGGGATTGAGTCCACAACCCAGGCATGTGCCTTGACTGGGAATAGAATGAGTGACCTCTTGGTGCACAGGATGACACTCAACCAACTGAGCCACACCAGCCAGGGTTTATTTTATTTCTTAATGCAATAGCCAGAAATTCCAGAGAACCATATTAAGTAACAATTGTGATACTGGGCATTCTTAATCTTAATTTTGGAGAGAATGACTTTGGAATAGTATCCTGTATAATACCACACACCTGCAACACTAGCTAACAAGTCTTCCAACAGAAAAGTTTCATGATCAAACTAAATAAAGTTTCCTTTACTGTAGGATTTCTCAACACTACTATGTTTGAAGAATCTCTAAAACAGGGTAATAGTATATGTTATTCCCAAATGTAACTAATTCCAGAACACTTTTGTGTGTTGTACCTACTTTGAGACCAGAGTTCAATTAGGAAAACCTGTTATGTTATGATGGTTGAATTAGTTACCAATTTATTGCTTTTCAGCTCCCAACTCACTTTATACTGCCCTGCAGTATAAATGTTACTAGAACATTTCTCTTACCAGCTGGCACCAAGTTAAGCTTTGTTAGGAGAGGACGCTGGAGGTACTCTAGAAGAAAGGGCTTTTCTTTCAGTTTCGAGTATGTACCACATGTCTTGTTCCTGTGGCAGAGGAGACCCAATGGCACCCATGATCTCTCACCTATAAGTTGAGACTATAGAGAGGCAAGAGAGATGCCTAGGACACAAAATTTGAGAATGAGTGACTACTTACATTTTGGGCCCAAGGCATCTGTCTAGATCTAATCCTAGGCATCACTATAGTCTGGCCCTACTCACATTCCAGTGAATTTAAGTTGTATCACCCCCTACAAATGGCTTCCCAGTAAGTTCCACCAGTATGGCAACTCAGTTAGTGGGAAGAACGTCCAGATTTGTTCCTTTCTTGGGTGTTCTGCCTTAGTACTAAAGGTACTGAATTTATTAGAACTTTTCTAATTAAAGAAAAAGGCAATAAAGTTAAATTTTTTATTTTTTAAAATATGTTTTTATTGATTATTTTTTAGAGAGGAAGGGAGAGAGAGAGAGAGAAACATCGATGTGAGAGAGAAATATTGATCAGAGCTGCCTCCTGCACATCCCCTATTGGGGATCGAGCCTGCAACACAGGCATGTGCCCTGACCAGGAATTGAACAGGGACCTCTCAGTCCATGGGACGACACTAAATCCACTGAGGCACACTGGCAGGGCTAAAGTTACAATTTTAAAAATCAAATTATTGCTACTCTATGTGTGGTTTTCTTCTGGAATTGCAACCAAATGAAGATTAAGCATGTTAGGACAATAGTATATTCAAATTAAATAGATAATTACTTGCTATTTTTATTTGTATCACATGAAGCAGATACCATTAATTGCGCTAGGCTTTGTGCCGAATACGTTAACCTAAATGAGAACTTGATGAGGTTGATGCTAACATCTCAATTTTGTAGGTCAGCAAAGTGAGGCCAAGAACAGTGACAACCCAGAGGTTCTAGTTAGAAAATGGAAGAGAAGAATTCAAGTTGTGTGGCTCCAAAAACTGAACACTTCCAAAGTGTTATATAAAAATTAAAGAATAAAAGGTAGAATATAATCTATGGTACATTTCCAAAGACAAAAAATCCATTACAGCCCTGGTTGGTTTGGCATCACCCACAGACCAAAAAGTCATGGGTTCCATTCCCAGTCAAGGACATGTACCTTGGTTGTGAGTTCAATCACCAGCCCCAGTCAGGGTTGTGCAGGAGGCAACCAATACGATATATCTCTGTCATCTCTCCCTTCCTCCCACTCTCTCTTTAAAAAAAAAAAAAAAAGGCAAAATATCGAGTGAGGATTAAAAAAAAAATTACAGAAAAAGTGAGCTCTAAGCTAGATATTACAAAATAGGCCAAAATTTGAATAGTGATATAGACATGGACAAGTTCAAAAACATGGGCAACTACAGCATATTGACAAGAGACAGTCTAGGGAGAAGGTTAAGAAGTGAACGAATATTGTGGGCTCAAATTGGAGGGCTTTAGGTGGTAATAAAGATTACACTTGACTAGGAATGAGGTGTCACAGAATTCATGATCAGATTATATCAGTCTAGAAGCAGTATCTTAGACTGAATAGAAGAGGGAGAGAGAAGGTAGGGAGACCATTTCAGATGCTATAGCAAGTACTCAAACAAGACATGATAAAAGACTGGAAGAAGAATAAAGAAATGTGAAATTACTGTATTCCAAAAAGATGAATGAATTAGTGGAGCAAAGAGAAAGATTAAAGAGAGGAGGAATCCATTATTATACCAAAGTATTAAGCTCAGTTGAGAATGATTAATGAGAAAATCTCATTAACAATAATAAAACTGATTAAAAGGAGAACAGTATGGGATAGAATTCTATTTCTAGGTACCCTCTATTTCTGACCGTTACAGTCATTGTTCCCATACTCACTAACCTTTCTACTACCTTTTCTTTCTCATTGGTCACTTCTTTTCCTCTACCTTCTAGTAAGCCTAGTAAGATCATCCCTTGCCCCTCCCTCCCCTTTCTACATCTGTTTTAGCAGTGGTACTATGTTTCACTTTTTCATTTGTCATGTTTCATAAAGAAAGACCTATACATACTGCCCCAATTCTCTCCCTTCTTAACCTCTATAACTGCCTTATATTCTAAAAGGCACAATGAAGAGGTAAAAAAAACATCATTTAATGCAATAGTATTTTCTTAGTTTTTATCCATTTAGCCCCCCTAGAAAGTTCTCTTGTCTTTCCAGAGCACCTTGATTCTCATTACTTTAATTACTATCTCTCTAAAGATCCTTTCACACTAGCCCTGTATCAGAACCACGTATGGAACTTTGAAAAAATCCTTAGGCCCTACTACTTCTACAGATTCTGGTTCAGTAAAAATGGAATGCAGCCAGAGCATTGGTCTAGTTTATAAAGCTCCACAGGTGCAAGTAAGATTAAGAACATCTAGAACTAGAGGCAGAATTTTTCATCCTTCCTTTGAATCCTTAGCCTAATCCCTTCATGAATTTCTTTCACACACACACATATCCACTTGCCTCAATAATTTCTGGAGTCTGATCACTTACATGAAAATATGAGGTGTTTTCTGGGAAATATCGTATCACAGCACAGAGTGTATGCAATCACATTACTGACTCCCTTCTGAAGCGACATACAAATATTCCCGTCTCTTGCACCTCTAAAAAAAATAGCATTCTCAAACTTTTGGTCTCAGGACCTCTTTATGCTCTTAATAATTCCTGAAAACCCCAAAGACATTTTCTTTTTTTGTTTCTGTGGGTTTATGTTTACTGATATTTACCATACTAGAAATAAAATTAAGACATTTAAAAACTATTATTTCATTAAAATAAACCGATTACATATAGAGCAAATCACTTATTTTAAATAAAATAAATGGCAATTATTTTCCAAAACAAAGAAACAAAAATAACAGGAAGAGTAGCATTGTTCTGTATTTTCCATAGTGTCTGGCTTAACAGAAAATAGCTAAATTCTCAGATCTGTTTCAGCATTCAATCTGTTTTAATTATTACACGTCTTGTAGACCCTGGGAAAGTCCACTGTACATTTATGAGAGAGTAAGAATGAAAATACAGTTTAATGTCTTAGTAGTATTATAAAAATAGTTTTGACTTTGTGGACCCACTCGAGTCTTGAGATTCCCCAGGGTCCCTGGACAACACTTTGAGAACTGTTGCTATATAGTATTCCACCACTGAAGGATATTTAAGTTGTGGTACCAGTATTTATTGAGTGATTAGCCCTGGCAGGTTTGGCTCAGCGGTTAGAGCGTCGGCCTGCGGTTCAGAGAGTGATTAAATTATATTTTGGGCACAATTAGGAAGACTTTACTCACTTATTTGTTCAGCCATCAAAAATAATTTATTGAGTATATGCCAAAGGCTCTCTGTTCTACTTGTGCTCTTACCTCAAGCTAACATCCTCACTGACATTACAATGTGGAAATCTGAACTTCTGCTAACCAAACAGAGCTAAGGCAATCCCCTATCTCCCTGCACACTCATTGACAGCAGCAGCCGTTCTATTTTAGGCCCTGTCACAGAACATAAAAGTGCAAGTTTAATCTTATAAGATTCTAAAATACCCCTAGATATCATTTATCTTTAGACTCAGATCATAACCTCCAGTTAAAAGGAAAACCTTTTCTGATCCTTTATGGACTAGATCCTATTTCACTTTATCCATTAAATCACCACTGATCTTCTTAGACCAAATTCCCTACCTAAACTTCTATGTCAAATTTCTCTATTGACATTTTTTTTTAATCCTCGCTGGGGGACATTTTTTGCATTTATCTTCAGACAGAGCGGGAGGGAGAGAGGGGAGAACACAGAGAGAGAAACATCGATGTGAGAGAGACACATCGACTGGGTGCCACCCACACAACCCCAACTGGGGCCGGGGACAAACTGCAACCAAAGTACATGCTCTTAGCGGAAACCAAACCTGGGACTCTCCAGTCCAATGCTCCAACCACTGAGCCAAACCAGCCAGGGCTCTTTTGACATTTCTTGACTCTGTTTTCTATCTTATCTCTGTTCCTAGAAATTCCTTGACGTAAAACCCTGAAAACCAGGTCAGTTCAAAGTGTTTATCAGATTGTTATAACATATGGTTAGCATAAATGAATATTCATTTCTGGTTTCTATAAACTCTAAAATTATTAAACAAATTATTATACAACATATGGTATACTGTGCAATATTTATTTAGGAAATCTTTAAATATAAATCACTGGAATCAAATATTCATTAAAAAAAATATGGTATACTGTGCAATATTTATTTAGGAAATCTTTAAATATAAATCACTGGAATCAAATATTCATTTCCTATAGCTAAATACCTGTCATGGTACTTACTCACTTGAGTTCAGCTATTCTAGAAATTATTAGAGAAGAATAAAACTGTGTAGGGTCTAACCTTAGTTACAAACCCTTGAGGATATGCTGGCATGTTAGTTCTATTAATCATAGAACTAATTATGTTTGACCCACTGAAGATTATTTTTTATGTTTTTCAACATATAGAATAAAAATTAACTTAGGAGCTAGTTCATCAAACATTTTTTCATATGTGTAAAAAAGATTTAGAGTTTTTTTTTGTTTTGTTTTTTTTAAATCCTCACCTGAGGATATTTTTTTCCATTTTTTGTACAGATAGAGTGGGAGGGAGAGAGAGGAAGGGAGAGAGAGAGAGAAATATCAACGTGAAGGGACACATCGAGTGGCCGCCACCCGCACGACCAACCAGGGCCGGGGACAAACTGCAACCGAGGTACGCGCCCCTAGCGGGAACCGAACCCGGGTCTCTCCGGACCGCAGGCCGACGCACTAACCGCTGAGCCAAACTAGCCAGGGCAAGATTTAGAGTTTTAAAATGTGAACAAAGATTCTGATATAACTGATATATAATGCTATTATATAATGCTGATATAACTGCTAAAAATGTTAATGAATCATATATAATTAAGTGTTCAGTTACTGCCTCAAATCCATTTTGGAACAAGATAGTTATAAATAAATAAGCTTCCTGATTACCAAAAATAACCGTGTACGTACAGTTTTAAGATCATTAGCTCACACTTAAAGCATTCAATTCTGAGTCTCACCTTTGGAGGATTTAACAAATCCTAAAGGTCCTGGATAATAAGATAAAGAATCTAGAAGTCATTTTCTATGCAGAATAGTAGTCTTTATATATTTAAAAGGTTTTCATATAGAAAAGGGAGTTTGCTTCCTATAACTCTGTAAAATTAACAGGTAGGAATGATTTAATTTAAGTCAAGAGAATTCTCTAATAAAGGGCTATCTCCAATAATGAAACAAGTTGTCTTATGAGGTGGTATGCTCTTTCACTGAATGTATTTAAGCTGGAGTTACATAGTCATCAATGAGACTGTTAAAGGAACTAAGATAAAGACCTCATGATATGTAAGATCCTTTACATATCATGTTCATAATTAAATATACTTTAAACTATTTATATGTTGAAGTTTAGAAAAAATTTAAGGCAACTTAAATTTTTACCAGATTTTAAGATTAAACAAAAACTTGGGAGTAAATACAAACCCCAAACAAAGGGTACTGATATATTTCCTCCATGCTTTAAGTTATGTACCAAAAACAGTATACCATGAACCCATAAATAACAGCTCTTCATTTTTACTTGCAAAACTTACCAGAATTCTGTTGGATTCCCCATCGTACTCTCATCCTGAATTGCCGGGCACCACTTTGCTGGAGTCTTCTATTTAGTCGTGGAAAATTCTGCTTCTTTCCTTCCTTTCGATTCAATTTGATGATATCATCTGTGATAGAGGAAATGCAATGATTATTTATTTTCATTTTAACTTAATAACTCAATTACTCAGTCTCATTTTCTAGTTGATAGATTTCCATGTCCCTAACTTTTCTACTTTGAAAGCACTTCCATAAGAAGGTAATAATGATAACAAGGTAAAAGTTCAAATCAGCCAATGCACTTGGACCACTGAAGAAAGGTTTTGTCAGAAACTCATACAACTCAACACCAGGAAGACAAACAATCCAATCAGAAAATAGATGAAGGACCTGAATAGACACTTCTCCAAAGAGGACATACAGATGGCCAAAAGACATGAAAAATGCTCAAGGTCACTAATTATCAAAGAAATGCAAATAAAAACTACAATGAGGTATCACCTCACATCTGCCAGAATGGCTACTATCAATAAATTAACAAATGCTAGGGAGGATGTGGAGAAAAGGGAACCCTTGTGCACTGCTGGTGGGAATGCAGACTGGGACAGCCACTGTAGAAAACAATATGGAGTTTCCTCAAAAAATGAAAAATTGAACTGCCTTTTGACCCAGCGATGCCACTTCTGGGAATATATCCTAAGAATTCCAAAACACCAATCAGGAAGAATATATGCACCCCTATGTTCATAGCAGCATTATTTACAATAGGCAAGATTTGGAAGTAGCCCAAGTGCCTATCAGCAGATGAGTGGATAAAAAAGCTGTGGTACATTTACACAATGGAGTACTACCTGGCTGTAAAAAAGAAGGAAGTCTTACCCTTTGCGACGATGGACCTGGAAAGTATTATACTGAGTGAAATAAGCCAGTCAGAGAAAGACAAATAGCATATGATCTCACCAATATGTGGAATCTAATGAACAAAATAAATGGATGAACAAAATGGAACCAGAAGCATGAACACACATGCAACAGACTAGCCAGTATCTAAGGGAAGAGGGTGGTGGTGAGGGAATAAAAAAGGTGAAGGAAATAGCTAAAGAACATATATGCATAGCCCATGGACATGGACAATAATTTGTTAAAGGCCAAGGAAAGGGGAGGCAGGGGAAAGTGGAGGTGGGCTAAGGAGAGGGCAGGGGTACTCCTGCAGGGGGAGGGGATACTCCTACAATAGTGTCAACATTTAAAAATTTAATAATAGCCGGACCAATGTGGCTCAGTGGACTGAGTGTTGTTCCATGGACTGAGAGGTCCCAGTTTGATTCCTGGTCAGGCACATAACGGGGGTTGCAGGCTCAACCCCCAGTAGGGACATGCAGAAGGCAGCTAATCAGTTTCCCTCTCACATTGATGTTTCTATTTCTCTCTCCTTTCCTCCCTTTCTAAAATAATACATTTAAAAAAATAAAAACTTTAATAATAAAAAAATAGCCCAAAGCTGACCTACCAATTAATGAAGATTTCTGTTATCCATAGTATTTCTTTCTTACCCTCATAAGTATAAATAAGCAAGAGCCTGTTTACCAAAATTACTAATATTTCTTTCCATAATCACGGAAGTCTCCAGTTTTTATTTATTTTTTAGAGAGAGAGGGAGAGAGAGAGAGAGAAAAACATCGATGAGAAAGAACATCGATTGGCTGCCTCCTGCACACTCCCCACTGGGGATTTGGCCCACAACCTGGGCATGTGCTCTGACGGGGAATCAAATCGATGACCTCTTGGTGCATGGGTCCATGCTCAACCACTGAGCCACACTGGCTGGGCAGAAGTCTCCAGTTTTCACAGATGACCAACTTTCAATAAAACCACAGACAGTCAAAAAAACAAATTATTCCATTAAAAGACTAAATTTTAATAAAGGAGAAACATCTGTAAACAAGAATTTATTAACTTTTTAAAAAAGACTAAATTTTAGCCTGGCCAGTGTGGCTCAGTGGTTGAGTGTTGACCCATGCACCAAGAGGTCACCAGTTCTATTCCCAGCCAGGGCACATGCCCATGTTGTGGGCCCGATCCCCGGGGCGGGGGGGCATGCAGGAGGCGGCCAAGTGATGTTCTCTCTCATCAATGTTTCTATCTCTTTCGCTCTCCCTTCTCCTCTCTCTAAAAAAAAAAAAATTATAAAAAAATAAAAATAAAAAGACTAAATTTTATAAGTTCATCTCAATTCAGCAAATATTTATCAAGCATATACTATGTGTAATAAATATATATGGCAGACTATGCTATAACAGAAACAAACCAAAGTAAAATATAACCCCTGTTCTCAAAAAATTTAAAATTATTGATGGAAACAGACATGTAAATAGCAAATACAAAATAAATTAAGTACCATAAAAAAAGATATACAAAAGAAAACATTATTGGTTTTTGTTCCTCTAGTGAAGTAATTCAAAGTTATCTTAGTTTTCTTTCTACTCTGCTCTCATTTCCCAAAACACTTTCAAAGTGCCCCACAGTAATTCACAAGCCTCACATTGCTCTAACACTACAACAGAACAATGTGAAGATCAGGAAACAAAATGCTCTCCGGATTCCCTTTTACATCTAAAGGGAACAGGGTCACATTTTACTTTTGTTTCTGTTATAGCACAGTCTGCCATATATATTTATTACACATAGTATAACCTGTTAAAAGGAGGCTACTAGAACAAGGAATAGAGTCAATATCTTTAACATTATGCATGCTATAAATGGTTACTAGACTTACTGTGGTGATTACATTGTAAGGTATATAAACGTCAAATCACTACACTGAACACCTGAAATTAAACAATATTGTATGCCAACTATACTTCAATAATTTTAAAAAGTTACTAAAGCCAAAAACATTCATTATAGAAATATCCAATTTCTCCACAGTCCCAATTCCAATATTAATTCTGATAATTGAAAATATAACAAATAAACTAAAGAAATTGAACATAGTCTACAACTTAAGAAAATTTCACAAAACTAACCTCAGGAATTTTTTCCCCCCAAACTGCTCTAAACACAAACTACTCTAACAATGATATCAATATAATTAGTCTTTTCTGAAGTCAAAGAAAGAAACTTAGATTATAGGGATCCTTTCTTATATATTACTACTCTATCTCACTCATCCGCAACTTTTAAGACTCTTTTTTTTTTAATCCTCACCAGAGGACATTTTTGCATTTATCTTGAGATAGAGCTGGAGGGAGAAAAGGTGAAAGAGAGAGAAAGAAACATTGAAGTGAAAGAGACACATCGAGTGGCTGCCACCCACACAAACCGGGCCAGGGACAAACTACAACCGAGGTACGTGACCTTAGCAGGAACCAAACCCAGGCCTGTCTGGTCCGCGGGCTGATGCTCTAACCACTAAGTCAAACGGGCTGCAATCTTTAAGACTCTTAATCACATTCAAATAAATATTCATATAAAATAATTCATATCTCTCCAAAGTACTTCAGTATCTTCTGGAGCTCAACCCTTCAACTACAAAAGAGTTCATTAAGACATTCAAAAAATAAAAAGGTTTCATGAATATCAGATACATGATTATGTTAAATTCTCAATGAGCAGAAAGAAAATAGACACTTCTTTTGAACACTTTAACAGGGTAAGGTGCTATTCTTCACCAGAGATCTAAAATCTCAGAGCCATGAGAGTACACACACAAAAATGAATTTGGCCCTGGCTGGTTTGGCTTAGTGGTTAGAGCATCGGCCCGAGGACCAAAGAGTCCCAGGTTTGCTTCCACCCAAGGGCATGTACCTCAGTTGTGGCCCCCCCCACCCCACGCCTTCCTCCCACTCCTTCTGAAGATAAATGTAAAAATATCCTCAGGTGAGGATTAAAAAATAAATTAATCTTGACTAACCAGGTTAATCTTTTATTTTTTAAGATTTTATTTTATTTTTGTTACAGATGTTTCTCCTTTTTTTCCCCATTGACACCTTCCTCCCCAACCCCCCCACCCTGTTCCCAGCTCCGTTGTCCATGTCCACTGGCCATGCGTACATGCACATAAGTTCTGTGGTTTATCTCCCGCCTCCTCTTCCGAGGGTTGTCAATCTGTACCCTACTTCCTCGTCTCTGGGTCTACCCTATTCCTCAGCCTGTTATGTTCATTATATTCCACAAATAAGTGAAATCATGTGGTGTTTGTCTTTCTCTGCTTGGCTTGTTTCACTTAGGATAATACTCTCCAGGTCCCTCCATGTCGTCTCAAAGGATAAGAGATCTTTCTTTCTTACAGCTGCATAGTACTCCATTGTGTACATGTACCACAACTTTTTTATCCATTCATCTACTGATGGACAGTTGGGCTGTTTCCAGATCTTAGTTATTGTAAATAGTGCTGCTATGAACATGGGGGTACATATATTCTTTCTGATTGGTGTTTCAGGCTTCTTAGGGTATATTCCTAGAAGTGGGATCACTGGGTCAAATTAACCAGGTTAATCTTAAAGTAAAGCATCATAGAGTATAAACATAACGAAAAACTAAAAGTAGTAAAGCATATCTAACATAAAATTACGTTTAAACATCTTATCTAAATCCTCAAGTTAAATGAGGATTTTTCCAATCTTATTTTTTTTTTTATCCTCACTAGAGGACATTTTTGGCATTTATCTTCAGATAGAGTGGGAGGGAGAGAGGGAGGAAGAGAGAGAGAGAAACATCAATGTGAGGGAGACACATCAAGTGGTTGCCACCCACAAGACCCCAGCCGGGGCCAGGGACAAACTGCAACCGAGGGACATGCCCTTAACGGGAACTGAACCCCAGGACTCTCTGGTCCACGGGCCAACACTCTAACCTCTGAGCCAAACCAGCCAGGGCGACTTTTCCAATATAAAAGAAGAGACTAGAGCATGGTAATGGATTTATGGTAGGCTCATCTTTGTGGGCCTCTCATAGTGTACCCATGCCAGAGTAAATTGCTGCCTCGAACCACTGCTTAGCCTCCTTACCTGTGGGCTGTTAGCACTGAAGGGGGTTGTACAGTGTGGAAAAAAATAAAATAAGAGAATGGTTTTCTCTATTCAAGGAGCAGATAGGGTAGGTATAAAAAGGAAAAAAAAATCCATTCTGATGAGTTACTTTTAATATGTTTTTATTGATTTTTTAGAGAGAGGGGAAGAGAGAAAGAGAAACATCAATTGGCTGCCTTCTGCTTGCCCCCTACTGGGGATGGAACCTGATACCCAGACATGTGGGGGGGGGGGGGGGAATCAAACCGGGACTTCTCAGGCCGTGGGAGGACACTCAATCCACTGAGCCACACTGGCCAGTGGATGAGCTACTTAAAAAAAAAAGTTTCTTCCATAATACATGGTACTAATAACAGCAATAGTAGTAACTGAGTACTAACAGGCATTGTTCTGACATGTATTCATTTAATTCTTACAATTCTACTAAGTATTATAACACTTATTTTCAAATGAAAGAAAATGAGCTACAATGAGGCCAGTTATTGGTAACCTTGGTAGATAGTCTATATGAATAGTCATATAATCTTGGTAGACCCACAATTGAAAACAAAACAAAAATTAGACTCTAAAATCTCTGCAGACCTGATAAAATGAAATATTCACAAAGCATAACAATTGTTTAAAACAGATATCTCTCCATCCCATCTCTGTAAAATTGTCACTAAAACAAAACAAAAAGGTACCTGACAGAATGCTCTTGGGGTATACCTTAAGAGTATGTTCCTGGAGGGGAGAAAAGAGATCAAGCTTTGTTTCAGCTATCCACAGCACTTCATTTCTACCTTCAAAGATAATTATCCCTCAGTTTTCTACAGCTGAACATGGTAATCACCAAACAAAATACATACAAAAACCCTAGTAACTTAAAATGATGTGTTGGTTATGAAAATACCTGTTTAACACTTCCTGCAATTATCTGTAGCTTAGGGCTCTAAAGCAAGACCAAAATCCTTGCTCCCCCACTTACTTATTTGTTGTACAACTATGGACAAGTAATTTAATTTCTATACACCTCAGGTTTTGTAAAATGGGAACAACAATGGCATAGATAGGTTATGTGTGTGAATATAAAGCTATCTGCGTACCAGGTACTGTTCTAAGCAGTTTATATACACCTCTTGACTTGTTTAGTATTTACATCAACCCTCTAAGGCAGAGTGTATTATTCTCACCTTTTCACAGATGAAGCACTGAGAAAAAATTTGCCCTCAATCACATGACTATTAAGTAGCAAAGCAGGATTTGAACTGAGTGTGGTTCTGGATTCCGTGATCTTTATCATTGCAAGTATATCTCATAGGGTTATTATGAGGATAAACCGAGTTTACATATATTAAATGCTTAGTCCACTGTCTGGAAGGTAGTAAGCACTCAATAAATAATTTTTATATTTTTTCTTGGCTTTAGCTCAAAAGATTTCTTGTTTCTCTAGGGTTCACTAAGACGAGACTTGAGGCCAAACATTTCTGATGATTTACTTAATTCACATACTCCACCGGGTTCTGACTTGTGGCAATCGTAGAAACCAAGAGTTCTTGATTCTGACTAAAAACTTTGCAGATAAACCACAACAAAAGAAAAATAATGTCCTGGGAAAAGTTACACCTCTGTATCCACTGGTCAGGGACTTTTCATATATGTCCCCAAAACTGTAGTCCCCAGAAAGAGCTAGCAGAGCTAACGCCATCTAATCCACACCTTGAAACCCGACAAAAAAGGAATTCCTTTTCATCTAGCTAAGCCAGGCACAGAGTCGTGCCTCAGTAGTGCTAGGTCTAAATCTTTCATCAAACAACCGATTCTCCTGCTTTTTACATAACCATCACCAAACCACCCCGCTCTGCTCATCCGCGCTGGATCCCAGGCTTATTCGGCTTCGCTACTACCCACGTCAATCAGTCTCCCCCTGGTTCTCGCTTTTTTTTTTTTTTGGTTTGTTTTTTATTCATCCTCACCCAAAGATTTTGTTCTGTTTGGTTTTTCATTGAATTTTAGAGAGTGGAAAGGAGGGGGGAGGGAGGGAGGGGGGGAGGGAAAGAGAGAAGCAAACATCGATGTGAGACACACCGATCAGCTGCTCCCCGCACGCACGCGGCCCGACCCGCAACCCAGGTCCGCGGCCCGGCGGTGCGTTTGGAGCGCTGGCCCTCGCACCGAGGTCTTTCTCCCTAGTTAGCTAGGCCTGCATGAGGACGTGTGCTTTTTCTACGCACCGCCGAATAAAGCACCATCGGATGAAGTCCGCCTAGCCCACTCTCGGGGGCTCTTTACACTGTCTCACTCGGCGCCGGCGTCGGCCTGGGCTGGGAAAATGCCCAACGAGCCCTTTTCTGAACGCGCTGGCTCGAACCGAACGCCGGCCCGGCCGGGCTCTCCGCGCCTTCTTCGGAGAGCACGGCTTCGTCGGGCCGTTCCCTTCGCTCCCGGGATAACGCCCGCAGGGAACCCGCTGGAGGGAAAACCGGGAAGTTCGCACAAAGAGTCGGGCTCGCCCGCGACGGGCAGCGCCCCTCCGGGGGAACAGGCTACGCACCTCTCGCCCCTCCAAACCTCCGGGCCAGCAGCGCCCCCCGCTCCCACCGCCGCCCGCAGAGCGCGCCGTCGAATGTTGCACCCCAGCGCTCGGCACCAGCTAGCGCTCCCCCAGTCCCCAGAGGCCCTCACTTGGTTCCGCCCACCGCAAAAAAACTGGATCCAGGACTGCGGCCAACCGCCCCTTCCCCCACAAACCACGGTGCTTGGTCCCACCCACACCCTCCCCCCACTCCAACTCGGTCCAACTCGGCTCCTTACCCAGGGACATATCAATTTTGTCGAGGTTTTCATTACTGCGGGGTTTCGGCGGAGGTGACGGGATCGCCGTGGCTCCCCCTAACCGGGTACCAAACCGGTTCATGGCTGGAGACGTCGCGCTGGATCAGTTGGTAGAGAAGGCCACGGTCTGAGGCCTGCCACCTCCCACTCAGGCTCACAGACTTGCTGCACCGAGGGAGCGCGCACGCGTGCTGGCGGCGTCCTCACCCTCCCACCCACGGCTGCGGGCGGGGTGGTGGGGCTACAGAGACCAGCGGCCTACAAGAAGGGCCCTGCGCCGTACTCGCTCTTAGCGACGCCTGTCGGACAGGAGAAAACATTGCACCCGCTGCTCTGGGCGCTTGCAAGGGCCGTTGTTTCAGCAGTTTGCCTTTCCGTCCAAATTGGGGAATGCTGGACCCTGAACACCTCAGAATCACGTGCCTTAAATGAGATCATGTTCCTTCGTGTCCTTCGAGTCCCCCCTGCTACAGAAAGGCCCCTAAGCTTTTGCACAGACTAACCTTTCACACCCCACTGCAATGCAGCCTCGGAGGCAGTACAGACCCCTGTGAAGTAGATTGCAGAACTGCGTCCCAGGCCCCCTCTCCCTGGTCAGCTCCTCCACCTGCAGCATGAGGAGTCGCCACGTCTGGACTCAAAGCAAAGGCTGCAGTGACAATTCTTGCGTCACTAGCAATAAAAATAAATGCTAACGTTTCCCGTATCTGTACTGTACCATTTCTCAACCGGCACTCGTGAAAGCTTGAGCACGGTACTCGATACCTTAATAAGACTTCATCGTCCCTTAGGAGAGGGGTAAGTAACTTCTGCTTATTTGGCTGCTTTTCTCTTTCTTTTTTAAATTTTTTTTTATTAATTTGTTTTTGTTACAGATGTTTCTCCTTTCCCCCCCATTGACACCCTCCTCCCCATCCCCAGCTTTGTTGCCTGTGTCCATTGGTCATGCATACATACACATAAGTTCTGTGGTTTATCTCTTCCCCCCTTGGCTGCATTTTTCTCTAATTCACTGGCGTTGGGAATTAATAGGAGGATTCGTTTTCTTTCTGATCATCCCTACATGAAAATACGACTATTTGTTGAATGTTTGCATGACATTTTATTTTTTCCCTATTTGCAAAACATGCTATTCCCTCTCTTCTTACCTTCTCCTCCTCCAAAGTAACTGCACTTGTGTGGAAGCATTTAGGTTATATCATCCTCATAACAGCTTAAAACTATCTAAGGCATTTGCCTCTAAGGAAAAAACCAGGGGCAGGTATTCTGACTCTGTAGAAATCTCTGCCACCTTCCTCCTTTCTACTTCCTGAAATTTATTTTTGCATTGAAACAAACCAGTGACTTAAAGGATCTCAAAACCACAGTAGCCTATACTTATTTTTTTTCCCTCCAAGACAAAAATATAACCATCTAAAGAGTATCAGCAAGCCCAGCCAGTATAACTCAGTGGTTGAGTGTTGACCCATGCACCAAGAGGTCACAGGTTCAATTCCCAGTCAGGGCACATGCCCAAGTTGTGGGCCCCATTCCCAGTGGGGGGCATGCAGGAGGTGACCAGTGGATGTTCTCTTTCATCCATGTTTCTATCTCTCTCTCCTTCTCCCTTTCTCTCTCTATAAAAATTAATAAAGAAAAAAATTTTTTTTAAAGAGTATCAGGCAAGGACAAACCTATGAAGGGGTACAAGAAACTTTAATGGTGGAGGAAAGTTTGGACTCAAAAAGACCTAAGAACAACATACCACATGTCAAGTAGAATTGCAGGTATGCCCTTAGCACAATATGCTTGATTTTATTTCTGTTCCACCATGCAGCTGCCACCCCTCTTCCGACTGGGTGGAACTAGGGAAACTGGGTCATAGACATAAAAGCAGGAGGGAGACCGAGGTTTTATTGAGTTGTATTTTTTTCATGCACTTTAGTCATGTGATGACTGTGTGAACTTGTGAGAGTGTCTGGGCCTCATACTCATCTTTAAAACAAGGAACTGGTTATACTAAATATATGTTATACTTATTAGTAAAGTTCCTTACAGTTCTAAAATCTTCTAGGCACAAGACATTTTTCTCCATACTGTCCTTCTCTCACTAGAAATAACTTCTACAGTCTCTGCTTATTTGTGTTTACAGGGAGGAATGTTAGATTACATTCTTAATTTTATGGAAAAAAATTAATGCATTTAGAGTTTATATGCATTTTTTGTACTTCAGGTATTTATAGGGCAGATAATAAAACCCCCAAATGTATATGAAATCCATCCCAACATCAGTATATAAAGGTTTCCTTTTATTCTGGTCTTCTCCCCAAAACTGAGCCCCATTTCAAATCTCTTTAGCTCTAAAAGGAACATACCCCAATATTTCATAAGTAACCTAGCTGTTTCAGATTTTTCCAAGGGCTGAGGATTGTAGAGTCTCAGAGCAATCACCCAGATTCCAAAGGGAAAAACAAGAAAAAAAAGAGACATCAAAGATAAAGATAGGTTAGTCACACACAAAACAATACAATACAAAACAGCAACCTGAGACACACAGCAATAGTGAAGAGGAAGACAAGCCAAGAAATCAGAACTGGGGCTTGTCCAGGAAGTCAATCAGCCAGCTTCAAGGGCTGGAGTACAAGGTTAACCCTGCCATTTTCTGGGGCATGAGAGGCAGCTATTCATTTAATCATATATTAATTGAGCACCAGGCATTGTAATAGGCCCTGGAGATAAAATGGTGAGCAAGTGGAAGCAGACCCTATTTCACACAGCCTGCAGAGCAAAAATATTTTCTGAGCACCTACTGTGAATGAGACACTGTGCTGGACACTAAACATACAGCCTTGGCCCGGAGTACAGCAGTTTGGCAGCTTCACCTAAGTTAAAATAAACAGAATTTAAGCAGCTGCCATTTTTAGAGGTTTGAGTTCATCCATTGCAGATAAGATATCTAGGATTGCCAGATAAAATACAAAACCAGTTAAATTTAAATTTCAGAAAAACAATGAACAATTATTTAGTAGTATAAGTTTGTTCCAGATTTCAGATAAATAGCATTTTTTTTTATTGTTGCATGTAATACTTAGGATAATTTATCTGATATTTAAATTTAACTGTGAGTTGTATATTTTTATCTGCTAAACCTGGCAACCTTAACATTATACTTTTTAAATTTTATTTATTCATTTTTTTGCATTTATCTTCAGATAGAGCGGGAGGGAGATAGGGAGGAAGAGAAACATCGATGTGAGAGAGAGACACATCAAGTGGCTGCCACCCACACAACCCCAACCGGGGCCGAGGACAAACTGCAACCATGGTACGTGCCCTTAGCAGGAACCGAACCTGGGACTCTCAGGTCCATGGGCTGACGCTCTAACTGCTAAGCCAAACTGGCTAGGGCTTCATTATACTTTTTCAAAAAAATATGTTTTTAGCCCAGCTGGTGTGGCTCAGTGGTTGAGGGTCAACCTGTGCACAGAGAGGTCATGAGTTTGATTCCTGGTCAGGGCACCTGCTCAGGTTATGGGCCAAATCCCCAGTGGAGGCCATGCAGGAGGCAGCCAATCGATGTTCTCTCTCATTGATGTTTCTATCTCTCTCTCCCTCTCATTTCCTCTCTCTCTAATATCAATAAAAAATATTTAAAAAAATGTTTTTATTGATTTTTAAAATTTTTATTTATTAATTTTTTTCAAATCTTTATTGTTGGATGTAAAATGTATTACAGATGTTCCACATTTTTCCCCCATTGACCCCCTCCTCCCCACACCCGCCCCCCTCCCGCCTTTTCGCACACTATTGTCTGTGTCCATTGGTTATATATATAAGTTCCTTCGTTTATTTCTTCCCATCCCATCCCCAACCCCTTTTCCTTTGAGGTTTGTCAGTCTAGCAATGAATTTGTATTTCTTAATCTCTTCACCTTTTTTTTTATCCTCACCCGAGGACATTTTTCCATTTTTTGTTCAGGTAGAGTGGGAGGGAGAGAGAGGAACAGAGAGAGAGAGAGAAACATCGATGTGAAAGGGACACATCGAGTGGCTGCCACCCGCACAACCGACCAAGGCCGGGAACAAACTGCGACCGAGGTACGCGCCCTTAGCGGGAACCGAACCCGGGTCTCTCAGGACCGCAGGCCGATGCTCTAACCGCTGAGCCAAACCGGCCAGGGTTCTCTTCACCTTTTTCACCCATTCCCCCAACCCCCCTCCCAACTTGCAACCAACAAAATGTTCTCTGTATCTATGAGAATGTTTCTGTTCTACCTGTTCATTTTGTTTGTAGATTCCATTGTTGATAGATATGTATTCGTTGCCATTTTGTTTGTTCATATATTTTATCTTCTTCTTCAAAAAGACCCTTCATCATTTCATATAATAATGGTTTGGTGGTTATGAACTCCTTTAACTTTTTCTTGTCTGGGAAAGTTTTTATATGGCCATCGATTCTAAATGACAGCTTTGCAGGATAGAGTAATCTTGGTTGTAGGTTCTTGCTTTTCATCACTTTGAATATTTCTTGCCACTCCCTTCTGGCCTGCAAAGTTTCTTTTGAGAAATCAGCTGACAGCCTAATGGGAACTCCCTTGTAGGTTAACTAGCTGCCTTTCTCTTGCTGCTTTTAAGATTCTCTCTTTGTCTTGAACCTTTTGCATTTTGATGATGATGTATCTTGGTGTGGGCCTCTTGGGGTTCACCTACTTTGGGACTCTCTGTGCTTCCTGGACTTGTATATCTGTTTCCTTCACCAAGTTAAGGAAGTTTTCTGCCATAATTGTTTCAAACAGGTTTTCGATTTCTTGTTCTCGCTCTTCTCCTTCTGGCACCCCCAAGATGAGAATGTTGGCACGCTTGAAGTTGTCCCAGAGGCTCCTTACACTATCCTCATTTTCTTGGATTCTTTTTTCTTTTTGCTGTTCTGATTGGGCATTTTTTGATTCCTTATATTCTAAATCGATGGTTTGCTCCTTGGATTTACTCTATTATTGAAGCTGTGTAAATTATTCTTTATTTCAGTTAATGCCTCCTTCAATTCTAACTGTGCATCCATGATTTCTAACTGGTCCTTTTTTATGCTCTTGAGGCCCTCCCTAAGTTACTGAGGTTCTCACTAAGTTCATTGAGCATCCTTATAAGCAGTATTTTGAACTCAGCATCTGTTAGGTTGCTTATCTCCATTTCGCTTAGTTCTTTTATTGGGGTT